CTTCCGCGGGGCTGGTGGGAGCAGGGAAGGCGACGGGCTGCGGCTGTGACAGCCCGTGGGGACCGCTGATGGCCACAGAGAAGGTCTGAGAATAGAAAATGATACTTTCAGCGAAGAGAGCACGAGTCTGAAACCTTGACGCCAGGGGCCTGCAGGAGGGTGGCGGCTGGGAAGGGACCGTGGAACACGGAGGAGCGGGCGCCGGCGAGCCCGAGAAATAAAAGACCTGCGCGCTCTACCCCTCAGCTTGATCGCGCTCCTTGGAAACTAGAGGAAAAAAATTTCCCTGGCTTGTGGGAGATGACAAAGTCCTATGTTCCTTATAATTCTCAATCATTCTTTCCCCCTTTTTAGCCGTTGGGGATGTAAGAAAAGTTGTTCCCATTGAGCCAAATGCTGGAAACATTACTCCGGTTTTGATTAATATTAGAGAACAAAATAATGAATGTTTCGAAAATATAGGGAAGTAGAAACGGACAATAATTTGTTAGTGCAAATGACTTCAAATTACAACACGCTATTTATTAGTCTTAAAATAATTGTAATGACTTGAAGCATTCAATAGCTTAAAATATTGTGTCTGTATTTTTTTGTTATTAGCTGAAATATTATAATCAGTTTTTTAAAATTTATTTTTGAATCTTTGTAAGAGTTTATTTGAGCCCAAACTGACAATTGCTGGGAAGCAAGATCTCACATGCTCCCTAATCTGTCTTTAAAAGGTGGTTGTTTTTTCTGCATAAGAAAACATTGGAGTAAGAGTCCAAAAGAGGAAAAGTGAAAAAGCAATTTTAAGATTCAACTAAGTTAATTTTTATAAGTATATATCGAGTCAAAAATTATGCTTTTATTGAGCAATAATGTAAGTCTATTCTTCAGGTGAAAGTTGATTAATGTAAATAGTCACGTTGTTACAGTAAATAGCTGAATAATTTGAATTTTACTTGGACATTAAATAAGCTATTTACTTGATTATTCTTTTTTAAAAAATTTTTTAAAAATATATCTTTACTGATTTCAGAGAGAGGAAGGGAGAGAGAGAGAGAAGCATCAGTGATGAAAGAGTAATTGAACAGCTGCCTCCTGCACGCCCCCAGCTGGGGATGGAGCCGGACACCCGGGCATGCCCATGTGCCCTGACCAGGAATCGAACCGTGATCTCCTGGATCCCAGGTCGATGCTCAACCGCTGAGCCATACCAGCTGGGCTACTTGATTATTCTTATTTAAAAATTGTTTTATTGATTCTTAGAGAGAGAGAGAGAGAAAGAGAGGGAAACATCAGTTTGTTGTTTCACCCAATCATGCATTCATTAGTTGATTCCTGTATGTGCCCTGACCAGGGATCTAACCTTGGTGTATAGGGGTGGCTCTCTACCCAACTGAGCTACGGGGCCAGGGCTTACTTGATTATTGAGGCCTTAAGGAAATCTATTATTAAATCTGTAAATCTGAGTTGCTAGACCTAGTTTTGCAACTTTGTGATCTATTCAGCAATTTGAAGTTAAAAGAATTGTACTATCAAATCAGGAACAAGTTAACCAGATTTTTGTTGTCTTCTGCATTTTGGATGATTTCAGGAAGTTGCCCATAGCCAGCCTCCAAACTACACATACTTTTAACAAGAATAATCTAACTGGTTATTGTGGCTTTACTTGCAAAATATTCCATTGCCAGGTCTTAATCTGTTACCTAATCAAGAAGCACCTCATCTTCTTATAAAGTTGACAGCTGTTTATTAAATTGTTCATTGCAGTAAAGTGAATTGAGTAAGCATGATTATTAAATAAATGACAAAATACCACACTAAGCTCTGACTCATAATATCTGAATATACATCTAAGATATTTTTATAGCTCTTTAACACCCCAATTTGTCACTCACTGCTCAAAATTACTCTCATTTTATGCTATGATTATGAATCTTGTGTAGTTCCAGTGCTATATTTAAGAATATTTTTGCCCAGCCGGTGTGGCTAAGAGGTTGAGTGAGCATCGACTTATGAACCAGGAGATCACAGTTCCATTCTTTTTTTTTAATATATCTTTATTGATTTCAGAGAGAGGACAGGAGAGGGAGAGAGAGATAGAAACATCAATGATGAGAGAGTCATTGATTGAGCCCACAACCCGGGCATGTGCCCTGACCGGGAATCTGAACCCCGATCGCCTGGATCCTAGGTTGACGCTCAACCGCTGAGCCATGCCCAGCCAGGCACAGTTCCATCTTAGTCAAGGCATATGCTTGGGTTGGGGCCTCCGTCCCTGGCAGGGGCATGCAGGAGGCAGCCAATCAATGACTCTCTCATCATTGATGTTTCTATCTCTCCCTTNCAGTTCCATTCTTAGTCAAGGCATATGCTTGGGTTGGGGCCTCCGTCCCTGGCAGGGGCATGCAGGAGGCAGCCAATCAATGACTCTCTCATCATTGATGTTTCTATCTCTCCCTTTCCTTTTCTCTCTCTCAAATCAATAAAGATATATATATATATATATATATTTTATAAAATCTTTATTGATTTCAGAGAGAGGAAGGGAGAGGGAGAGAGAGAGACAGAAACATGAATGATGAGAGAGTCGTCATTGATCGGCTGCCTCCTGCACACCCCCAACTGGGGATCGAGCCTGCAACCTGGGCATGTGCCCTGACCAGGAATCGAACCATGATCTCCTGGATCCTACGTCAATGCTCAACTGCTGAGCCACACCCACCCAGAAAATAAAGATATATTTTTTAAAAAGTATTTATTAATATTTTTGTAAGATTTCATACCCAAGTATATTTCTAAAATTACTGTTAAATTTTACAAATGTTGCTTTTAAATTTTGACAGTCAATTTGACAGATAATATTTGACTAAGAAAGAAATGTGGCAAGATTTTTTTTTTAATATGGCAAGATTAAAAACTAAATATTTTTTGAACTTTTTGAAGTAACTTTTTATTTTTTAATTATAGTTGTCATACAATATTATATTAGTCTCAGGTGTACAACCCAGTGATTAGACATTTGTGTAACTTAAGAAGTGATCATCCCAATAAACCCATCTGACACCATACATACTTATTACAATATTATTGACTGTATTTCCTATGCTGTACTTTACATCCCCATGACTATTCTCTAACTACCAATTTGTACTTAATCCCTTCACCTTTTCACCCATCCTCCTAACCCCCCTCCCATCTGGCACCCATCAAAATGTTCTCTGTATCTATGAATCTGTTTCTGTTCTGCTTTATTTATTTATTTATTTATTTATTTATTATTATTATTCTTTTTTACTTTTTAAATTTATCTTTATTGTTGAGAGTATTACAGATATACCATTTCCCCCCGCAACTGACCCCCTCCACTTTGCTCCTATCCCCTCCCCAGGCCTTCACCCTGTTATTGACTGTCCATGGGTTATGCATATATGCCCATAACTTCTTTGGTTAATTTCTTCCCACCCTCCACCCCCCTTCCCTCTTTCCTCTGAAATATGATC